GTCTACCAATGTATCACTTTGTCTACTAATGTCTACCAATGTATCACTTTGTCTACTAATGTCTACAAGGTACTGTAAAACAGTACAAAAATGTCTCACAATGTCTCACTTTGTCTACCAATGTCTACCAATGTCTCACTTTGTATACTAATGTATCACTTTGTATACTAATGTCTACCAATGTATCACTTTGTCTCCTAATGTCTCCTAATGTCTTAAATCTTTTCAACGGTCTGTAGACATTTCCATAAGTCAAAGGATCACTTTTTCGCCAAAACCCAAACAGACAGAATGCCGAGTAACCCAGAGTACCAGTACCACTAGCTACGGTACCGGTATCAATCTACCTAATCGTCCAAGACGTTGTCTCTTTTGTGCTTCATGCTTAGCCCGATCATCGGCAGTCATGCTGTTGCAGAGGTCTTCCTGCTTCTGTAAGGCTTTGCGTAATGACATTGTAGTGCTATCAGAAGGAAGGGATTATGCATTGGCTGCGAGGATAGATGTATGGCTGTACTTGGCTGCTGTATGCGCGCTGAATGCCACACTTAGGCACATAAGGATCCACTTTAAAAATTATAGTTCTCCTTTTAAAAAGTTTAAATGTACTTATAGAAAAAAAAACTGGATTCTATAATGCTATACTGCTAAAAAAGAAATACCCAAGGCTTAATAAAATCAAAAGTGTTTTGTTGGCAAATATCTATAGTCAATATGTGTTGTCTGTACGATACTCTCTAAAACCCCTTAAACCCCCACAGTTTATTTGAAAGATCACGCAAGCATCTCTACAGGCTTCAAAAGGTATTGTTTCGAGTTTCGAGTCAATATTATGACGTCATACCAGGTTCGGTAGCAGCTGTTTCCTATGCCAAGACGAGTCGCTCGAGTCATCCAAGACCACCACTCGTTCTTTAAAGGTAACCACCACTGCTCGTTCTTTATTAGAGGAAAAGTCTTCTACGATGCCTTCCAAATATGCCTTATATTACAGCAGTCCAGAATTCCGCTTTCGATAGAAACAATTCCTTATTCTGCGAACCCACCAAAAAAACAAAAAGCAATCGGTGAGATGCTGCATGCTGCAACACGGGCAACGCGCGAACGCTGCAACCACTTCTTCAATCCTCTATCTTCGATCTCCCCCCTCACTACTACCTGGTAGCTCTAGCTAGCTAGACAGGCACTAATCAAAGCGAACAGAGCTCAAAGCAAACCTTTGTAACATGTCTACTGCTCCTGATGGTACTAGAGGCAGTGGTGATTGTGGTGAGAGGTTACCAAGCAGTAGTGATACCGGTACAGACCAACAGCAACCACATCCACAACAAGATGATGTCTCTGTAGTCAACCCGCCCAGCTTTATCAATGTCCCTAGACCCGAAGACATGAGCTGTGCTTCTTCGGTGACAACTCATTTCCAAGATGCAGAACTATTTGTTCCACATATGTATCCATCAGCTCAGAATCTACGTGACTCTCACGATGTAGAGGATCCCACCTTTCAGCCAGTCACGCAGCAAACCAAGATGCCAACAACGATGCCTTCAGTTTTACCACCTCTTCCCGAGGAATCGCCGCAAGACCCCACTGACAGCAAGAGCATCCGCACAAGCCACAAGGAATTAGATGAAAACAGGATCCTCAAGGAACAAGAAAAAGCCCCCAAAGAAAGGGCCAATGTCCCATCTTTGGCAAGCTTGGAATCGAGCATCAATCAGAAGACCCAGAGATACTCAGTTCGGCAGATTTCCTTTGAAGCTGCTGTCGACGCCATTGTGGGACCTGCCGGGGATGATGTACCCAATAAAGTTGCCAGTCAGCGGAAACTAGACAAGCAAAGTATGGATCCAGCAATCCACAACAAAGATGCTAACAACCCAGCAATATCTGAAATGACTTCTGCAGCCAAGCAGATTGCCAGCAACTCACCATCGCCGCCTTGGATTCAGGACTTGCCACAGCCCATGGATTTACGATCCCTTTCAAGGGGCACTTCTGCTGCCGGTGAAGAGAGTTTGCCAGGAGCACATGCTGTGCAAACGTTACAATCCGCAGTGGCCCCACAAGCACGACAGCCTCGCAGTGATGGCACCATGAATGCGTCTGCTGCTGTTGTTGATGATGAGGAAGCAGGAAGATGTGATATCCAATCACCTCCAGCCGAGTCGCTGGCAGAGGCAAGACCGGTTGCTGAAGATGACCTACCTGTTGCCACAGAAGATTACGGCAACAAGCACAGACAGCGGCTATGCAATTTCCCAATCTATCTCATGGAGGGAATATTCTTTCTTTTTGTCATTGCTGGTATTGTTGTTGGGGCTGTTTGTGGCACAGGACACTGCAGCCGGAATGTCTATGTGGATGGCAGCAGTACTATGGCACCAACTACAATGAGAGACGCTGTAGCAGCACCCAAGATTGAAACTGTTCTCACATTCATTCTGGGGAGAGAGTACTTTGTAACAGTCGAAGATTCAGGACAAGGATATGATAATGATTTAACTGAGTTCTTTCTGGACGCAAGGCAGAAGGCATTTGACTGGATTGTCAATCAGGACCCAATGCAGTTGGAGTATGATTCTTCCAATTTAGTGCAGAGGTTCCTGTTGGTTCTTTTCTACTTCCAAACCACAAGGCATCAACCATGGAAGCAGTGCAATCCACCAGCAACTGCTCAGGGGAGCTCATCATCCAATTTCTGCTATAGGAATCATCCGGTCACAGGGGAAACAACCAATGGCATCTGGGGTGATCAGTGGCTCACGAAAAGCCATGAATGCCAGTGGGCCGGAGTGGTCTGTGAGACTGTAGAGTCAAAAGAGAAAACGGTTGCTGAGCTAAGCCTTTGTAAGTCTTGAGAACAAGGGATAAAACCGAAATATTCGTTTCTGACACTGCAGACCTGTGAATTCTTTAGATGGGAATCATCTCAATGGCCCTCTCCCATGGGAGATCACACAATTGCCCGAGTTGACAGACCTACGTTTATCTAAGAACATACTTTCTGGAGTGCTACCTCCAGGGCTACTGTTTCTAGACTCCAGCCCGTTGCGGTCGCTGGATTTAGATGGGAATAAGTTCATAGGGACAGTCCCTGCAAGATGGTTCGAAAGTCTCAATGAAGGAACTGCACAACTTACCAGTCTTGCTGTCTCGTCAAACAGGCTGACTGGGACGATTCCAACTGAAGTGTGTTTACTCCCTTTGAATAGATTAGTTCTTGAAAACAACACACTGACAGGTCCTCTCCCACGAGAAATAGTCAACCAAACTTCTCTAACACACCTATATTTGGGTAAAAATGATGTAAGTCACTACTTCTCTTGTTTTGTTTTGACATATCCACACAACCCATGCATGATCAAAGCTTACCTTCTTTGGTCCTCTCTGCTGATTACAAGCTCACTGGGACTTTGCCTAGTGAAATTGGACTGCTTACCAATTTGCAAATACTGGACTTGAATAACGCCTATATTTCAGGTCCCCTGCCCTCCGAGATTGGCCTTCCGAGCCTGCTTTATCAAATTATTCTCTCTAACACCAACATGGAAGGGACAATCCCTGAAGAGCTCTACACCACTGGATCTGATCTCGACGTTTTGTTATTGGATAGTTGCAACCTTTCTGGAAGCATCAGCTCATCACTGGGCCTGTTGACAAATCTCAAATGGCTGCATCTATCCAATAACAACTTCTATGGACCGCTTCCGAATGAGATCGAGGCACTGACAAATCTGAGACATCTACTGGTGAATGGGAATCAGTTCACTGGTACTGTTCCAGAGTCTGTGTGCCAGAATCTGTATGTTGAAGGGGAATTTTCCAATAAGGTGGTCGCTGACTGCTTGCCCAATCCAGAAACTGGAGTTCCTTTCATTCAGTGTTCTTGCTGCACTAGCTGTTGTGACGATACAGGAGTTTGCCTTGCCAATTAGAGCTTGTAAGTCCTTGGCAAACAAATGACAAACCTGGCAACATACTTGCTGAGCGACAATAAGCTCAATCGCAAAGACAGCAATCTGCCTCTCGTGTGCCTCTTGGACGCAGGATCCTGGCTCACCATGACGTATACTGGTTGGTCAAGCCAGACACTAAGGAAGTTACTGATCCTCCAAAGCGCTGAAGACGAGCTTTGCCGAGGTCAAGCTCCGATCCACCTGCCGTACACGAGGAAGTGAGCTTCATCCCTAGCTAGTCTAGCCGGTAGAGGCGATTTTGTGCATGACGAGGGCGGCTTACCTGGAGAAATACCAGTCAAGATGTACCGCTTACCTTTGATATCAGATGCGCCGTTGACTTCGAAGAAACGACAGCGCGAGAGGGCCACCGGCTGTCGATGTAGCTGGTTTGGAAGTCTTGCAAAGTTCGTATGCCCAATTGCGCTTTTTCGTGGAATCCAGAAAGGGTTGCGATGTTCCTCTGCGACAAAGTTGTCTTGCATTGGCCAGGATCACCGTAGAACCAGCGCACTGTGCTCGAGGACCGGAACACGCCAGAAGCAGGGATGTTGTCATTTGCCATACGCACCAGAAGTCTTGATGATAAGTCAATTCACACAATGCTTTATTTCTCCGCCAGTGAATCCTCGTCTCGCGAGCAAAGAGCCGTGGTGCTTGGAAGGTGTATTCGTTCGGCGTCACGCATCGATACGAGCCAAGCAAACAAAGAGCTAGCTGCTGTTCGCTGTATATCGAGAGCGAGATTCTTTAGAGCACTTGCCCTCTCAATGCCGGTATGGAGTATGCAATCCTGGTGCAACTCTTCTGCCCTCGAACGCGACGATCCGATGATAAGGTACCAATCTGCCGCAATCTCGACCAAATCGGATCAAACGAGTCAGATTGGCAAAGTCAGAGAGACAACGCATGCAGCTCAAGGAGTGGGATAAGCAAGACACACGCGGAAAAACCAACGATCGAGGAGATTGGTTGCCATGGTATCACATCCCCTCTACGAAGAATGCGAAGAGTCCTCAGCAATCAAAAACTCATCGCCGCCTTTCTTGGCACCACCTGGCCTGGCAACACTTGCTTCTGCCAGGTTTTGCTTTTTCGATGCGATACCGGTACGGAAGGAGAGTTTCATCAGCAGCCGCATGTTGAAAGCTTTCCCACGAAGGGGCAGGGCCATTGGTGCAACCTGCAGGAGCCTTATCATCAAAAAGCGTGCGTCCTCGTGGCCATCAGTCGATAACGAGTCCATGCCCATTTCCATCTCCAGTTTCATGGCATCTTATGCCGAACGAACTCGACGGAACGCATTGACGTCATTTTCTTTGCCGAGGTGAACTCTCATAATCTCCTTGACAGCAAACTCCTCTTGAACAGTATTGCACGCTAGAGCGGGGCCGTTTTGACCACGAGAGTGTGGAGACTTGCTGGATTGTTGATTTTTTTTGCCGTGAAGGTTTACTCCTGCTGTGAGTTTGTGACAAGCTAAGAAATTGATGACTTGCTCAATCGAATTGTGATCCGGCCAGAGAGTTTTGCCTGGTGGTGCTGTGTGGAGCCTGGCCTTCCCCTGCGAAGCTTGTCACAAGCTAAGAAAGTGAGCTACAGCCACATCATACCGGTAGAGGCCGAGAATGGATCGGGTGGTTTATCGTTGGATAGACCTTGCGTGCAAAGCAACGGACACATCACTGACACCCATAAGTTTGGAATATTGGTGCAGTTGCCGGCACCGAACTAGCAGACAGCCGTGGTAGAGGCCTTGGACGGCACGTGCCGGAAACATGCGGTACGAGCCACGCGAACCAAAGAACAAGCCGCAGTTCGTGAGATCCTGATGACATCCTTTTGCAACCTTGCCCCCTTCAGCACTTGTGCCGGTATGGTTTGCCTCCGACGCGACGGTTTGAAGCCTGGCCAGTGCGGAAAACACACCAACAAGCCAGTCTCGACCAAATCGAATCGAATCGAATCGAATCACCGAGTGACAATCAAAATGGGTTCCAAGCAACGGAAGCGACAGTCTTAAACCAATGAAATGAGTATGTCTCATGCTGGGGGCATATCGACGATCGAGGGGATTCGCTGCCCTTGTGTTCAGCCACTTCTCCTCCACGAAAATGATGACTTGTTCAATCGAATTGTGATCCGGCGAGAGAGTTTTGCTTGGTGGTGCTGTGTGGAGGCTGACCGTCCCCTGCGAACTAGCAGCCTGCATCGAAAGGGGCTACGGTAGTAATCGACTGACTAGATTGAAGGATGTTGATCTGAAGAATTAGATATTGACTAATTTAAAAAAGTAAAAACTTGCAAGCTTGTTTCACAACATCTTCCCTCCCCCAAGCAACGTTGCTTGGCAGAGCCGTTTCGAAACTAACCCCATTCATTGGTCCATTGTCGCTTCATTCATTCGCTAATTCGTGATCGACGCGCCACTCCTGTATAGATAGATTCGATTCAATCGAGATGGCGGCGGCGGCACCACTAATGATTCGATTCTCCCCCGCATCACAAGTACCACCACATCATGCCGGTACAGTATCTACGGTCCCCTCCTGGTGGGATTTGCCAATTTCAACAACATCCGCCCATACTCGGATCCCTCTTCTCCCGTCCGAACCTTGTAACAATGAACCAATTTGGCCCGTGATGCTTTGACGTCAATGCCCCACCGACATTGTTTGGGGTGCCACGTATGAATCAGGTTTGGTTCTAGTTGTCGAATGACACAGAGATTGGCTGCCTGTGTGGCTGTTTCGTAAAACAACATATCTTCCGTACCCCAGCCCTGAACATGGTTGTCGTGTCTCAGTACAATCCTCGTCATGGCTGAATCTTCCGTCATCTCCACAGCATCGTCGTCATTGTTGGGATGCGACCGGGGTGGAAACGTCTTGTTCAGTGTGGATCCCAGCATGACATGCATGCCCACACCACCGGGACGCCAATGTCCGGCATGTGTGGAAAACTCCGACAAATGGCCATTTTGGTCCAGCTGTAAATCGGGATCCTCCAGTGGGGTGCTACTATTAGTTTGGGCCCGTCGTTGCTTTTGTTGTTGTTCTTGTTCAATGAGTTGAATGGATTCCGGATTGAAGGCACTCCAAATCACGGGGAAATAAATGACGGGATCATCTGGTGCACAGCTGGGTGGGTGGGGGTGGGGACCATTGTTCTGAAGAGGTGCATCAGGTCGTTTTCCAGCCACCACAATGTCCAAGGCAGTTTGGAAGAAGTTGGCCCTGACTTGCATATCCACATCCATCCGTGCCACTAGACATGCATCACGTCGACAAGCATTATCATGGAGTAGATTGGCAGCCCTAGCCCGTGTAAAGGGTTCCTCTGAAGACACGAGAACAACTTGGTCAACTGGGAGACCTGATAAGGATGCCAATTCCTGTTGCAATTCAGAGGATGGTCGTTCAGGAGCAAAGCGTGTCACCAAGAGTCGGAACTTGGTAATCACCAGTGTGTGACCAGTGTTCATTGTTGCATGGTCTTTCTGCTGGTGGTTGTACCGGTAGGATTGAATGGCTTGCCCTAGTTTGGCGGCAAAGACGCGAAGTCTGTCATCTCGTTGAAAAGCTGGAACCAGCACATCCAATTGGAACTCATGAATAGAAGAAAAAGATGATGTCATTGGTTTGTCAAGGAGAGATCGATGTTGTGTGACGACCCCATCAGCCACCACTGTCTCTTCTTCTTCTTCCGCCTGCAGATTATCATTCCACAAGTAGGTGGCGGCGGCTTCCAAACTGTCTCGATATCGCAAAGTCATCAAGCCTTGCTGCAGACAAAACCCAACCAGAAATACAATAGTCCGATAACAGCGACACCTACCATAATTCTTCCCTACTGTAACCACTGACTCCACAGGCTTGGAAGGACGTCGTGGTCGCATCGCAGAAGAACACTCCATGGCTATCTTCGTCAGTAATATGGCTGCATGAGGAGAAAAGTAATAATGCTGAGTGGAGACACACGGTAGTAGACCAAAACATCCAGTCGGCACCCTCCAATGACAACTCGGTTCGCTCATTGAGTTTCGCTCACCATGCACGAATCGCCCAACCACTGGATTCTTGAGCGGAACCATTCTACCGCTGACCCCCGTGACTTCAAGGACGGAGGTAATTTCGGTGCGTCATACAGTGCATGCATGATCGTTGTTGACATTGCGATGCAACCATGGACGTTGTTGACACCATGGTCCCCATCCTCATCTTAGCTCTCTCTAATCCACAGTAAACCCGAATTGTTTGTGAAAAAAAGAAAAAAAAGTATAACCATGGACCGAGCCATTGCGATTTCCATCTCACATACCGGCGGCACTGTACGCTGTACTGTACAGAGAGAAAACGAATACTAAATTGAATAGATAGGTTACCGGTAAGGAGCGAGGGGGCTAGCTAGTAGCTGTAACTCTCTCGGTGGAATCTTTGGAGTTGCAATAGAGGAAGACTAGCTAGCTAGATAGTATGCATACTACTAGCTACTAGTCGAGGGAAGGCAATCTTGGGAGTCGGGATATCAGAAAGATGCGGCCTGGCCCCGGCTGGCTTCCGTAGATAATTTCCCTACTCTAAAACCCCCCTCGAAAGAAAGATGCGGTAAAACTGAGCATTCATAAATCTTCAGAGCAAGATGTGGATTTAATAACCATATTTCCCTGTAACCTTCTATCGGTACCAGGCGAGCTAAGGGCAAACATGGCAGAAGGGGCCTTTGGGTGACGCTGCATTGGAAGGGTCAGTGCCGGCCTTGGGACAAGCAGTACTATCGAACATGTTATTAAAAAGGGGAGTGCCAGTTACTCGGGTGCCCCAAGCACACAAATCCTGGTTGAAGATAGAAGCAGACTCGAACAGATCCACAAAGTTGGTCACGGCTGAAACATCCCTGTAAAGCAGGACATAAGCAAGTCAACAACAAAGATTAGCACATGAGCTCTCTCATGGTGGGGGCAAATAAAGACTTCCAGAAGTCATCCTACCAGTTGGAGATGTCAGCATTGAACATGCTTGCACGACTGAACGCTTGATACATATAAGTGACTTTACGAACATCTACAACTGTTGTGAGTAAACATCTTAGAAAGAAAGCAATTTTGGCACGTACATTCACTCACCCCATGAGTTCAAAGCACTATTGAAGGAGGAGGCTTCATAGAAGGTACTCCACATGGTCTCTACAGATGAAACATCCCTGTAAAGCAGGAAGTCAACAACAAATGCAGATGAGCTTTCTCAATCATAGCAGAAGCAAATAAGGCTGCCAGAAGTCATCCTACCAGTTGGAAAGATCAGAACTGAATGCACTTGCTTCTCTGAAAGTCCAAAGCAATGAAGTGACTTTACTAACATCTACAGCTGCTGTGAGTAGACACCTTAAAACGAGAGCATTTGTCATCGACCATGAATTCACTCACCCCATGAGCTCAGATCACTAGAGAAGGCGGATGCGCCCTTGAAGGTGCTTTCCAAAGTAGTGGCACTAGAGGTGTCTAAAGTGGGAAGCAATCATGGGTGAGAAAACATGGGGTAAAATATTATTGTGAGCCACCAGTAAAAAGAATACATACCCCATGAACTTATGTCTCCAGCGAAGCTGGTAGCTTCATAGAAGATACCATTGAGATTTTCCATACTACCAATGTCTATCATTTCATGCGAGGAAACCAAAGGAAAGCAAAGGTAAGCAATATCAGGTTGGATACTCTGTGAACCAAGCACCAACCGAACAATGCATACATACCCCAGGAACTTATGTCTCCATTGAAGGCATCTGCCCGATAGAACATCTGCCACATGGATGTTCCACTTCTCATATCTATCATTGAGATGGTGATGTTAGCGCACAAGTTCTGCTTGGACTGCAAGCATCAATGAGAATCAACTTACCCCATGCACTTATGTCTCCATTGAAGATAGTTGTTTCTCTGAAAGCAAAACCAAAGTCTGCGACACTGGAGACGTCCCAGTCATTCAGCCCAACATTGAAGGCTGCTGCAGCTGGTGCACATGTCATATAAAAGATCAAGCAGCTGTGTTTTAAAACCCAAGTCGAGAGCACATCGAAGCAATTGTTGCTGCATGTGTACATACCTCGAAAGAGTGAGAGCATTGATGTTACTCCGCTGACATCCCACATGCTGACATCCCCATTGAATGTAGCCACATTGGAAAGACCATTGATCAAGAAGTCTGCAAGCGAAAATCACAAGTGTGGAATGATGTGAGCTCACATGAAGCAGTGAATCTCATAGATGAACAAACTGTAGTTGACACACCAAAATTGTCAACTGCCTGCACATTCCATGTTAGAATGGAACCTATAAAGAAAAAGGTGACTGAGAAATAGCCAGAGCACACATTTTTAATCGTTCACTTTAAATGCTGGACCCATAGCTTACCATAGGGACCTGTGGGGGAGTAGTCATCGCTTTCCAGAGCTGTTATCAAAGAATTCTTGTCCCCAAAGACTTTATGCGGTGGGAAGCAAAATGCAATATCCTTCAGTGAACAAACCAGACATGAACTTGTTTAATAAATGAGCATGATAATATTACGTACCAGTCCCTGGAGTTGCAGTGGGGACAAATGTTGGAATTTTGGTAGGGGCCTTTGTGGGTGCCTTGGTAGGTGTCTTTGTGGGTGCTTTTGAGGGCGCCTTGGTAGGTGCTTTTGAGGGTGCCTTGGTTGGGGATTTGGTTGGGGATTTAGTTGGTGCCTTGGTGGGCGCATTGGTTGGTGCCTTGGTTGGTGCCTTGGTTGGTGCCTTGGTTGGTGCCTTGGTTGGTGCCTTGGTTGGGGATTTAGTTGGTGATTTAGTCGGTGCCTTGGTGGGCGCTTGGTTGGGCCTTGGTGGTGCCTTGGTTGGTGCCTTGGTTGGTGCCTTGGTTGGTGCTTGGTTGGTGCCTTGGTTGGGGATTTAGTTGGTGATTTAGTCGGTGCCTTGGTTGGTACCTTGGTTGGTGCCTTGGTTGGTGATTTAGTCGGTGCCTTGGTTGGTGCCTTGGTTGGTGCCTTTGTGGGTTTGGTTGGGCTTTAGTGGTGCTTTGGTCGGTGCCTTTGTGGTGTTTGTGGTGCTTGTCGGTGCCTTGGTGGGCACTTTAGTTGGTGCCTTGGTGGGCGCTTTCGTCGGTGCCTTGGTTGGTGATTTAGTTGGTGATTTAGTCGGTGCTTGGTTGGTGCCTTGGTTGGGGATTTGGTTGGGGATTTGGTTGGCGCTTTAGTCGGTGCCTTGGTTGGCGATATAGTTGGTGTCTTGGTGGGGGATTTAGTCGGTGCCTTGGTGGGCACTTTAGTTGGTGCCTTGGTGGGCGCTTTCGTCGGTGCCTTTGTAGGTGCTTTAGTGGGTGCGTTGGATGGCGCCTTCGTGGGTGCTCTGGTGGGGGCTTTCGTTGGTGCCTTGCTGGGGGGCTTTGTTGGGGCCATTGTGGGACCTCTAGTGGGCACAGGGGTTGGAGCCTTGGTTGGTGCTGAGTTGGAGATTTTGTTGGTGCTTTACTGGGAACTTTGGTGGGGGGTTCCGTTGGCGCCTCTGTTTTCATCACAGTTGGTGATTTTGTTGGTGCTTTACTGGGAGCTTTAGTTGGTGCAATTGTGGGATTGCTGGTTGGGGCACGGGTCGGTGCCTTGGTTGGTGGTTGAGTTGGAGTTTTGGTTGGTGCTTTACTGGGAAATGTAGTTGGGGCAAATGTGGGAGCTTTGATGGGGGAGTTTGTTGGTGCTTTTGTCGGTGGTTCAGTGGGAGTTTCTGTTGGTGCCTTGGTCGGTGATTCAGTGGGGGATTCTGTTGGTGCCTTGCTGGGGGTCTTAGTTGGGGCCATTGTGGGGCCTCTTGTGGGCACAGGGGCTGGCGCCATTGTGGGTGGTTCAGTAAGAGAAATAGTAGGTGTCTTGCTGGGAATCTTGGTTGGGGCAGTAGATGGCACCCTAACAGGTCCTCCAGTTGGAGCCTTTGATGGTGTGTTTGAGCTATATGTAGGTGCCTTGCTCGGCATTTTGGTAGGACCCACCATATGGAATTCTGATGGAAACTTTGTTGGAGAGACTGATGGGCTGCCTGGGGACTCGGTACTCAAAGACAAGGCAACAGGATCAATGCTTTGGATCTCCTCGTTGTACTGCTGAAGGAACTCAGCCTCGGACGATGCGAGGTCTTCGTCCAAGGCCTCAGGACTGGAGGTCACCGTGAATTCCAGGTAGAAACCACCGTCGGGCATCGAAACTGGCTGACCCGCCTCTATGGCCTCAATGGTAGAACCAGAACCGGCCAGGGAGTTGTATGCCTCCACAAAAGCATCCATCATTTCTTGGTCTGTCCAACCGGTGGTGGGCCCACTGAACGAAATGAAATAGTCCTCCTGCACCGATGGACCGCTGCTTGGACCAGATGGATTACTCGTAGGATCAATTGTTGGGATAGGGGTTGGGTTCTCTGTAGGTGATGTTGTTGATTCGTTATCAGGGGTGCCAGTTGGGTCGTCTGTTGGATGGTTTGTGGGTGACATGGTTGGGCTGTCTGTTGGTTCAAAAGTTGGTTGTGGGGTGGGATGATTTGTGATTGGCCGCTCTGTAGGGTTGGCAGAAGTTCCTTGGGATGAGACAGATGACGCATTTGTGGTCATTTTGGTTGGAGATTGTGCACCACCACCACTGGAAAATTCATTCAATGCTTTCATTGTTGATGGAGTAATCGTTGCCCTTGATATGGTTGGTGGTGGCCTGGTGGGAAAAACTGGCCCTGCGGGAGAAGACTGGTGGCTTCCACCATTGCTGTGACCCTTGTTGATATTGTGGCAAACACCTGAGGAAGCAGACCCGGCAAACATTTGCATGCCAGCACATGTCTCTGGTGAAAGCATCTCTCTTGTTGGAACAATAGTGAGTCCATTTGTTGAGGGAGTTTGAATGGTGGTTGTTGGTTCTGTGATTGGACTAGGGGCTGGGGCTGTTGGATGGGAGTTAGCATCCTGAACTTTGCTAGCTATTGGTGGCATGTGTGGGGGGAGTGTTCCCATGGATTGGGAAGTTGGGGACATCTTAGCATTGGGGCTGACTGTGGGCCAACTACTAGATGACACACCGGGAATGCTTGCAGAAGATGGAGCCTGTTTTGGTGTCTGGGAATCATCAATATCAGTAGGAAGAACAGGGTTACTGGCTTCTGGGGTGTAGGCTGTTGGCGCTCTTGCTGGGGACAGGGTATTGGTCTGGTCCACATCAGAAGGAGCCATTGGCTGAACGACACTTGGTGGTGCATTATCATTGGCTGCTGGTGATGCTGGTTGGTAGGTTGGCCCTGCTGGTGCTCCATGCTGACCACCGTTGGTTGTAACCTGATCTGTATCGGCCACTGAGAAGGAGGGACTATTTGCGGCTGGTGCAAAAGTTCCAGTACTTGGGATTCTTGTAGCAATGGGGTTGGTGGCACCAGAACCAGAAGCAACCATTGGACTAGTTGCAGAATTGGGTACTCCAATAGGACTTCCTACAGCTGGAAGACTGACATCTGCTGCATTAGGTGGCCCTGTGTTTGTGTTGACAGAGGCTACAGGAGCAGATGCAACAGTTGACGAAGGAGGCCCTGGATCCAGTCTGTCTTGTTCTGAGTCATTTGTGTTTTCATTCCAAACTGTGTTCAAACTTGGTATCATCTCAATCAGATCACCAGGTCCTGACCGCTGTGGCTGTTCTGGGAGTACCTCTCCTGTCGTTGGATCCACCAGTGCCACAAACAAAAGTTCTATTGGTGGATTTTCTTGCTCCAGCTCTGGTTGACTGGTTATTGAGTTTTCTTCTTGTGTTTGATCATCAGTCTTCAGAATGGGTTGTATTGCTTCAATGAACTGATCCACGAAATCATCAACAGCACTGACAGGCTCAAGCTGGGGACTCCCTTCAGTGTCAGTGTCAAAAAGTGGATCCACGTCAGAGCATCCATTGCAACGAACATCAGCAACCCAATAAGTATTGGTATAATTATCCTCTCTAGTTGACTCAACCTGCATCATTCGGACCCCACCCAGAGGGATGTGGGGACTATCACAGCCATCAATGTCGGTGCTACTGGCAGAATTGGAGGTGACATTGTTGTAGACTCGGGCAAAAGCATCTTCCAATTCTTCTTTGTTCTCCATGAGCAATTCACCTGCAGAGGGGCTGTCATCCTGTGAGGAACTGTTATTATCGGCAGAATGAAATACAACTTGCATGACACCCTGTTTGGTATCGGTTTTTTGAATGGAGCCAGTGCAGTCAACATTGACGTCATTTTGGCTGCTGTTGCTCCCCAGGGCAGCAGTGGTAGCAGCAACTGTGATAGCAGCTGCCACAATTATTCCAATCTTGATAGGCGTGGACAGGGTGGAAATGCTAGCAGCCATGGATGACGTACCAGCTCCAGCTCCAGCCGACTGGCTAGCCATGACACCTGCTCCTATTCCAATCGCTGCAGACTGGGAAGCTGCAAGCGCCATATCTTGTACATGATTGTCCTCCTGGGCAGGCACTAGTCCATCCGCATCGTTTTTATTCTTCCGGAGGAATCCAAACATACCCAGACAATAGCTGAGGAGGAGCCTGGGCCAAGTACAGATGCTGTAGGCCAAGTCATAAGCATTGCTGTACACGTACTCAAAGGCTATGTTGTGCATGGCATTGTTGCGGATTCCTCGTTCGATATCCATGCTGTTAATGGAGAAATCAAAGTTACTGGGAGACTCACTGAAAGCATCATCATCATCTTTATCCATTGGGTCGTCAAATGGGTCAGTGTCATCATCACTATCACTGTCATGAAGGGATGGGTTATCTGCTGCATTGGCCGCCAAGCCTGTAGGATAGCTGGGACTATCCAGAGCTGCCAGTGAGGTCCTTGTAGAAAGAAAACGTTGCGATCTCAATGGATCCCTTGCGACAGCGTCAATAATACCAGGATCTGCGGCAGGTACGGCGATTTCATTTTCTTCTACAAGCTTGGTAGAGGGAAAGTGAGAGCTCATCTTGCTTGTCAAATTGGGCTCAGGATAGCCAACAGATTCGAATTATGAGGTTGCAGGTGTGCTTTTTTAACAACTGTTTGGTTGATTTGTGAATTGTTGGTTTGCTTTCTCGTCGCTCACCCCTCCGCTTGGGCTCCCGAAAACTTGATGTGGTCTTGGACAATCGACATTGCAAGACCGGTACTGCTGAGTTTCTCTTTACTCCGCTGATAAAGGCAAAGTGTCCGTTAATCAACTAATTCAACTTGGCTTGAAAGGATTTATGTAGGCGTAAAAAGCTTTCAAAGGGGAAGTTCTCGAGGGCACAACTGCCAGTTAAACGATTCTAGCTACATATTTCCATACAATTTCCACAGTTTTACGTATTTCCGAAACCTCTGTAGAAAATATTGGATCAGAACCGCAAGTTTCACGTTTTGGATTGAATCGGGTTTCAATTTTACCAACCCTGGATATAAAACTTTCGAAATCAAAGTCGAGTCCTGTTTAATGGTTCTTAGGAAATGTCCAGGATCTCTTTTCACCCATCCCTTATCCCGCCGACCGCCGACCGCCGACCTACCGTACACCGTACGGTACCGGTACACGGTCCTCACGTATTTGAAGGTCACCAAAACAACCAGCGAGCAGTTCACTTCATCATAATGATTATGACTGTTTCTTCTGAAATGACTCAGCTGCAGAAGCACACGTCAGCTTTCCGCTCCGAAGTTCATGGGCAGCAGCATAAAAGTGAGTAAGTCGATTGAATGAATGTTACTTCCCACTTCCTCACTGTAACGGTCAACTGTGCCTGGTAATAGCTCTGGAAGAGCTCCTGGGAAGTACTAGCTAGTACATGTAGTATCATGGAAGATGGGAGTCGAGTGACAGTCCAGTCGCGTCGAAACCTGATACGGTATCCTCGGAGTCCCCGGTGTGAATTCCGCACATGCCTTGCCCGGAAGACAGGATATGATGCGATGCAGTGGGCGGCACGTTGGCTATCGTAAATGAAACTACCTCCTATTAGTAAGACTATTACACTTCCGCTACTGTTGTTTGCAAGCAATGGATTCCTCAAAACTCAGGGGAAACTTCGTTCATCTCTTCGCTCCCCCTTTCTACCTTTTTAGATGATGATGCCACCAATCTGTGTGTAGTATGCAGCAGGTCCAATTTGCACACCCTCAAAAGCAGTCTTGATGTAGATTGGCTTTCCATCCTTGAGGAAAATATACATGGAAATAGCATCATCGTGAATCTCTGCTCCACTGGCAGGAATGGCAGGATAAGGGCCAAAAGCAAAGGGGGTTCCGGTGTGGGTAGCATGGCTTGTGTAGTTCTTGATGACAATGGAACCATTGGTCGGATCTGGCTCGATAGATTCCCAAACACTATCATAGTCCGGGAAGGATTCGTAGCAACTTGCCATCTGGTCAATAAAGTCTTGGAGTTTTACTTCCATCATTTCGCCATCCTCCAAAGTCACATGATACTGGCAGTCCGGAGATGAAAGAGCCACAACCTCATCCAGCCTCTTTTGCCGCCACATCTCCAGCCACAGTTCCACAGCCTTGACATCTTCGGTTCTGTCTTGTTGCTCACTGATGGTAGTACTCGCGTTGTCCGACTTGTCTGCTGCGACCACAGGATCTCGCTTGGAGGAGAAAGATTTGCCACCGAGCCGTTTGGCTAACCACTTTTTGATTCCGGGCATTGTTTCGTTGGTTTGGTTTGGTTTGGTTTGGTTTGGTTTGGTGGTGGGTTTCTTGTGTTGGGAAAAGTATTCCTCCAATTTTTGTGAGGAGAGGGGATGAGGATCGGAGTGATTGGGTGTGAACCTGTCAACCCGGGAGGGTGTGCTAGTGGCTTTGACTAACACGGAAGTCACTGTTTGACTACTAGCTAGTATTGGGTCTTCCTGGCATGGTTTGGTACCACTGGAACCTGTCAAAGCGTAAGAAAGAACAACGAAGAAGTACTGATGAATTGTTGACTTCAGAAGTTCGTCAAATGGTAGCCATATTCTCGAAGCATTCGAAGCAGCTCGAAGCACTCCATGTTTTCCGAGTTTGACAATCCAAACAGGCTTGTTAAGTCTTGTTCGAAACGTCACTATAATGAAATTAATGCTGTTAATTCTGGGTGAAATTGAGTGCAATGACTTCGCTTGTGTTCTTCCAAGGAACAAAAGCTGGATCCCGTAGCCCGTAGCTTCTCATGTGGAAAGTCCGAGATTGTTCGGAGCTTTTGTTTGGTTACTTCAACAGTTGAGTCATTGAGCGAAGGGTGTGGCTGTGTGGGTACTGGGTACAGCCATACCCTAATAAGTACTCAGTAATAAGTAAGTCTTCTGAATACTTCTAGCGCAAGAAGCAGCTGCTTACTAGTAGTTTCCGCGCACAGTGTCGACCTGAAAGCTGAAAGGTTTTCAGGTTTTCTGCAGAGCACCTCTTGCTCTAGCTAGCAGTTGGATTTTATCCTACACTAGTTATTTCTCCCCTTCCCAGTCAGAGGCTAGAAGCTGGGGAGTCAGGTCATTGCTTTTGCGGTCTGAAGACTTCCACCTCCCACCGTCTTTTCAGTCTTTTTGTCTTTTTCTAAATGGCTGGAGCGTTGTATCGAGTATCGAGTGGTGCTGCAAGTTGCTTTGGATGAGATCTGGGATTTGGTTCATTAACACCTCTTCGAGTCAATCCGTAGATGCTTATATGACCTCAATAATAAAAGGCAGCGACAGTAATGCCAGACGACCCCAAACCCCAAATATTGTCGTCAGGCATACTAGCTACTAGCTAGTAGGTGAGGATTGCATCAAAACAGATGTCTTCATTAGACTACTGGTATTTATTCTATTGGCCTCTCGGTTCTCGGCGGTGCATTTATTTATTCTCTTCTGGCGGTTCTGGCTGGCCACGCAAAGAAGAAAGACGCAAATGTTACTGGTACTGTACCCTGCAGCTGGCTAACAAGACCAAGTTCTTCCCTGGAGAATTGGACAATGGCCATCTGACGCTCCACAAGAGCGTTGAAAAAGTGGTCTGCAGCTTTGGAGGTATCAATGCCAAGAGCTACGTCAAGTATCGGCATCCCACTCCCGTGGTCACGCAAGGATTGGCAAAATCACCAGCAGCATTCACAGGGTTTCTTCGGAACATGATCAATGGCTGATATTACTACCAAGCTTCATCTGCCTCCATGGTTGTTTGAAGCTCAACGCAACATTCAAAGCCCACAATTAGTACTGGTAGCTAGCAAGGCTAGCTAGCTAGTAGCCAATCGTTCAACCTTGTCTCTGAAAACTGTGGCAATGCTGCCTCCTTCCACTCAACGAAAGGGATTTCGATTGAACGAATCGAATCGAATCAGATTCGACTCAATCGAAGATTCGAATTGAATCGAATCAAATCGAATCATTGATAGGGTTGAGGTTTGTGTACAGTACCAGATACCGGTAGCTCGGTGTCCAGCTTCTCACCATGATCAATCATTTGAATGTTCAATTTCCTGTTCATGCTCAAAAGAACCCCCAAGGAGTTCCAGGAGTGTGAAGGATAGATGCAGTCTCTGCTACAGTACCGGTATTAGCTGGCTAAATGGGACTTTGATGAAAAATAAAACAACTATATAATTGGGGCGTTGATTGAAGAATAAAACGTAAAACAACTAACGAAGAACTTTAGCTTCTAACTAATACTGAAGATTCCTCAAAACTCTTGGAACAGTTCGATCTTCTCTTCTTCACTCATCTCTAGTTTTAGATGATGATGCCTCCAATCTGTGTGTAGTACGCAGCAGGTCCTATTTGCACACCCTCCAAAGCAGTCTTGATATAGATTGGCTTTCCATCCTTGAGGAAAATATACATGGAAATGGCATCATCGTGAATCTCTGCTCCACTGGCAGGAATGGCAGGATAAGGCCCAAAGGCAAAGGGCTTTCCAGTGTGGGTAGCTTTGCTGGTAAAGTTCCTGATGACAATGGCACCATTGGTTGCGTCCGGCTCCACCGATTCCCAAGCAGTATCATAGTCCGGAAAGGACTCATAGGTATCCTTCATTTGGTCAATAAAGTCTTGGAGTTTCACTTCCAGCATTTCACCATCATCCAGAGTCACATGATACTGGCAGTCAGGACATGAAAGAGCCACAACATCATCCAGCCTCTTTTGACGCCACATCTCAATCCACCGTTCCACAGCCTCAACATCTTTGGTTCTGTCTTGTTGTTCCATGCTGGCAAGAGCCACGTCTGTGTGTTCACTCATGGTAGTCACACTCTCGGACTTTTCCTTGACCACGGCATCTCGCTTGCGGGAGAACGAATTACCACCGAGCCGCTTCGATAACCACTTCTTGATTCCGGGCATGTTGGTCAGTTTCTTTGTGTTTGTTTCTGTTTTTGTGATCCTCAAAGGAAAGTATTCCTCTAATTTTTGTGAAAGGACCAACCAAAGGAGCTAAGTGAAGCAAAGACTGAGAGTCACCCGCAGGGCCATCGCAAACCGCAAGTGGTCTTGGTGTGAACATGACAACTCATCATATGGCCAGCGATGGCTATTGCCAACCGGGGAAGTCCTGTTTGACCATCCAATATCCAACATTCTTTCTGGGACGTGGGACAGCACAAACGTACCGCACGTGACATTGCAGCGCATGATGTACGGTACGTATCTGCGTGTATAACTAAACAATTGAAGCACCACGTGAGAAAGAAATATTGATGTTGAAGTTCGCTGAGTGATGACTTCAACACGTCCCGCATGTCATAATGCCTGGTGCTCTTTCGAGCTCCCATCCAATCTTGCTCCAGGGAACAAAGATTAAATCTGAGATTGCAACGCTGGAACGCTGGAACCCTACATGTAACTTTACATACATGTACAGTCAACATTCAGATATATATACTGGGGGGATTCAGGAATTCAGTAAATATAACAGCGAGAATAAATATTGATTTTATCCCTAACCCTAACTATTCCCGTAGAATTGTACGTGCTCTAGTACTAAAATAGGGTTAGAGTTAAAAATGTGGGAACTGGAGTATTCTTAAATATTATAGAGCGAATAAATACAAGATTATAAATATAAGCGAGCGTTGACTGTACTTCAAGAGTCACGAGCGACGTGTCTCCGAACGGTACCGTTTGAGACTGAGCTTTTGTGCTTGGAGTACTAAATAAGTCTTTGCCATTGAATCTTTTAATCCCAGCCTGAAGCTTTGATTAGTCCAGTTACTACTCCTTACGCGGTTTGGGATCTGGTGAGTACAAATAGGTGAGAAGAGTAACCTCGTACTAGCTAGTAGCGTTGCCATCGGCAATCAAAACAGATGTATGAGATGTCCATAGACTATTGGTGCCAGCTAGATCTAGACTTGTACTCATCAGTAGAGCCGTAGAGTTGGAGTGCCGTAGCATTAAGCCCCTCGCTGGTCGATTTCTCCTGGCGGTACTGGCCATGGAAAGAAGCTATTTTTCTTCTCTTGAGAACGATTAATTGGACAATGACATTCTATCTAACTGACGTAGTCCAGTAGTCTACTTTCGCAGAAGAGCTAGAACGGACAGGGTTTTGGTTTCCTTATCTTGGCGAGTCTAGCTAGCTGCTGGCTGCTGATAGGTAGCAAGCAAGCGGTACCGCAGCTGCGGCTGTCCTCTTTCACCTAGCAAGTGGCTGGATAGTACTATACCGTAGCTCTACCCTCCCTGTGGCAATCCATTTTTAAAAGTGAGGGAGTGTATTGTAAGGGTCGGGTGCTACCGTACTGTATGAAGCTCTGTGCGCTGATCCATCGTTGCCATCTATTATTACTTTTTGACCTTGTTGCCTCCCTGTTTCCCTTTTGCCTTGGCAGTATTGGTACTACTCTCATCCATGTTCTTGGTAGCAGTGTTCCCTGCCACTAATAATGTTCCTTGTAGTTTGAGAATATCCGTGAATTCGTCGGGTGTCAAGAGTTGCCGTATCTGTTCCATTCTGGTCACTGGTTGCCATCCCTCCATTGCTGGTGTTGTGGTGATTGTAGTACAACGCCGCGACAGCACCACTTGGAACTTCTTTTGTGGCATTTTCTGTTCGAGGCTGGATTGAAAGTGTTCCACACTGGTGGGATCACACCCAATACAAAAAGCCAATCCAGGAGTTCCAAAGCGATAGAAACCCGTTAGTTTGTGTTTGGTGCCGCCCTTGGCGAGGTAATTGTCGGGTGCGTGATCCAGCAAGTGATGTGTGGAAATCACAGTAATTGTGAGAATCTGCTCGTCGTCGTCGTTTGTAATGATCTTCTGTTGTTGTGGGTTGGTGGTAGTAGTAGTGCTAGTGCTAGTAGTGGAGCAGCAATAGGTTGGTGCCAGTTCCTTGAGTGTCTCTACCAAGGTCATGACGGATTCGGCTCCTACTAGTGACTCGGCGGTTTGATTGAGTTCTGTCAGCAAGGCATCTCGTTTGGAGGGATGCAGAATCCATTGCTTGTTGTTGGACACTGACGACTGTTGTACCGACACTACCACGGCAGGTTTCTCCTCTGGATAGCCAACCGGAAGGCGACACACCAACTTGATCGTTATTCCTTCTTCTTCCAAGCGACAGGCAATCTCAATCTTCAGTTCTGGAATGACGCTCGCATCCCCTTCGGCAATGATTCGTCTCGCCTCTTCCAACTCGTCCAAAGAGACAACCTGGAACAAATTGGTCTCGTCATTACCGCAGTTGTCATCGTCATTGGCACCGTAGATCGCCTCCAAGGCTTCCAGTTCTGCCACTGTGCGCTCCAGCGACTCTAACAACTCCGATGGTGATAATGATGATGATGATGAAGCCATGCTGATGAGCCGCCCTCAGTAGAAAATGATGGAAGAAGCGTCTCTGTCCTGTTGGGTCGGCTGTTGGTCGAGCCTGTTTCGCGTCATTGGCTTTTGCTTGAAAGTGCAACTGTGCGTCTTTTATGGGTACCTCTATGCATGAATATCTTTGAGCCATTGATGGGAAAGATCGCAAAAAAAAACTGCACCCCGAGCCATTATTAGTTAGGGGTCTTCAACGTCATTCGATGCCTCTCCGCACCTCTCCGGTTCATCCCCAGATTGCCTTTTCTTCCCCTCTTCTGGCTCCCCCAGAAAAGAAAAAAAAAGTGCCAAAAAAGTGGAATGAAAGAGCAACCTTGAAGACCCCTATTAGTAACCACTCCACAAAAGACTTCAAGAAAGGCAACGGGGAGTTCAGTTCAGTCAGAGCAGATGGGATACCGTATCCACGGAAGCCAGCAAGCAAAGAAGATCCTCGCACTCCGAGAAGGAGGATGGTGCGTTCCGCAATAGCTCAGTCGTACGTACATGTGGCTACCGTGCACAACCAGCTTCCAGGAAGCTCAGCTGCAGCAGAAAATCAACAGCAAACTCTTGGCTTTGCTTCAGGATACCCTTCTGTGGTACTGTACGGAGATGCAAGAAGTAGGGTACCATAAAATTGTATTGGCTTTTGAGGCATGCCTTCGCCTCGGTGAGGCCACTAAGTTTTCAGGAAACCACGGTGAACCTCCTGCGGAGCCTTCTGGTTTTCTGAGGTACTTTTTTGGTTACGTGGTGGGTATGTTATAAGTGCTGCTGGGTTATTTTAATTAATCGGATAGCATGCTTTGGAGTTGTAATCAGAAGCATAGTGAGTACTGGTACAGCGTCCTCCATGAGACACAAACGGGCCTTTAGCGACGCTCTTGAGGTCCAAGGAGACGAATTCGTGGAATCTTGCTTTTATATGCATACCCAGCTTCGCAAGATATGACCCAAGGCCCTTCCTCTGGGGGTACTTCCAAACTTGCCGAATTGGGACATACCCAGAAGAATTTGATGGGATTACCGCCCGTATCCTCTTCCATAATAGCCCAGCCACCCTCTGACAATTCATTCCTATCGATTACGAATGCCCCAGAATATTCAGTGGGAGCGCCGACTTTCCGGTACCTATGTCCCCTATACTTTGTGTTCTCTCGTTCATAAACCCCATCGATATCATTACCAGTTCCAGAAACCTCTACAAGAGGGCATGCACATCCTGAGATCACAGCAGATGCCCAGGTCACATAGTATTTTGGGAACAAAGATGAAGACAGATCCTCCAGGCTCAAACCCTCAGGGAATAGACCGTTAAAATCCATGCTCCATGTACTGCCAAATAGGCCCTTCCGGATTGCAGGCTGCAGCTTTTCTATGTGCTCGGTTGTGAACATGAATCTTCCATGCCGTGACAGATTGAGTTCCATCCTACCTTGGATGCACTTTCTCCCATCATTCATTGCTTTTCGCAACTTGAATTGAAATACCAATACAAGGGCTTCCACAAAAAAGTCAGTCTCTTCAGGCGAAGACAGGCTGTCTCTGTATGCTGCCAACTTTTGCTGGAAGTAGTTTGCAAACACGTCATCACAAAGCTGGACCCCTCCAGCAAACTCATACTGGTCATAGAATTTGATCAGCTGGATAGCATCTTTGGCTTTCAACGAACGGGAAGCAACAGGGTCTAGCAAAATCTTGAGTGCCATCTCAAAGATCTCAGGTGTCACATCCGGAAACACAATCTTGCAAGTTGCTTTCTCCTTCATATCCACAGACAAAGCAGTGTCAATAAAGTTGCTCAACCCAGCCAACACGTGACTGTACATGTAGTACTCCTTCTGTGCCACGTTTTCTTCTTCGTTTAGATATTTCACCAAGACTGTGAGATCAGGATCTGTACAACGAAGGCGTTTGCATACTTGCACCTCATTGTTGGTTTCTTTTCCATCTGCATCATCCATGTTGATTGGTAAGCAGGTACTGGTAGTAGCGTTGCGGCCCGATACACGAGGTACGGTAGCTATTGCTCAAGAAAGTGAAACTATGAATGGATGCGAAAGCGATCAAAGGATGACAGCGAGCATTGCCTGCGTTAGCGTGGAGCGTGGCCGTGGAAATCGTGGAAGCACACGGCAACGTTCAAGGCAAGCGGGTTGCATGGGTGACACGATAGAAAGGGGTGTGCTTGCACTCGGGCTCGTCCTGTTCAGTATAGTACGTACTGGAACTTGATGACTACTAGCTAGCTTCAGGATGGAAAACTGTTGTCTCCCTGTTGTGCGGAGTCGCTGCACGCGGATCAACACGAAAGGCTGTTTGCTGCGAGACGCTCACGCGCACTCGTCCAATCTAACTGATCAACAAGCCCGAGAAAGATGGTCTACAAGAGGAGGTATGACCCACCCCCATGCCACCTTAGCATCGTCCTTATCCATAGTTAAGTAAAAAGTAACTACGAATTCCATTAGGAAGAGTCCATACCTTGTTGGATTTGCTTCCACACCGGCCCCGTACCAGTATTCGCTGCACCATTGACACTGCCTGCTTCAGTTTGTTGCTGTTGTTGCTGGATACGCTCTTTTACTTTTCGCAACGCATCCTTGATCTCAAAGGCGACTTCAAAGGCATATTTGTCGGAAAAAGAGGCTTGTTTGAGGACCCCCACAACATCCAAGGATGCCCCGAGCTCCCCCAGAATCTGTGCCGCACGCCATTGTACCAATTTACTCTTGTCTTCTACCAAAGCAACGCAAGCGGGCGGTACGGCACGATCATCTCCCAAATCACTCAATGCGTCGCCCGCAGTCCGCCTCATAATGGGATTCTTTTCGTTCTGGAGAGCCGACGTGACAGCATCCAGCACCGTTGCCCCATAGTCAACTATGTCGTTGTCTCTGTCTTTCTTTGCTGCAGTAGTCGCGACAATGTCCCCCGTTCCGCCTAGAAACGCCAAGGCGCTGCGTCGAGCCGCCATTTCACCGTCGTGGCTTGCCACAAAATTTGCTAGAATGAGCAAGGCTTGCATATCGCCGTGATCCGCCATATCGCAGTAGTGATCCACCTTTTGCAAATCCAGATCTGTTGCATCAAAGTCGTCATCGTCGAGGGGAGAAACGCTGATTTTTACTTGTTGCGTCTTCTTCTCATCGCCACGAAGAGCTTTTGTGACCAGCGAAGCAAGGCGTTCCGGCGAGTAAGCAGCGTCCAGATTTTTCAATTCCGCTGCGAGCACTGTATCAATATCTGATGCCTCTTGATCTTGTTCGGAAAGACTGGAAGAATCTATACCAGTATCATCTTCTAAATCCAAATAGCGCACTCCCTGATCCATCCATTTTCGGTTGGCAAAGAAATCAATCTTGGCAATGGACCCTTCAGCAGTGTCTGCTGCCTCTATCAAATCCTGCATGCATTGACTGAACCTGGACGACGCTTTGACTCGCTTGGTCGTCCCCAAGAAACCGGATGCCTCAATTTGAATCGGTATCCGATACGACGCCTGTAATCTCAGACGTACTTGACCACGGAGCGCTGTGTCTTGCTGGTTGGTTTTCGACGCGTCTAGGACTGTGGCGAGTAGGCTCTGCAGAATTGAATCGTCCTCTGCTGTGTTCTGGTCGGTATGAATGGCTGCCATGACAAGAGGCAGAATCTCTTCCCATTTTCCAGACACATGCTTCATAATGGTGAGAGCTGGAGGCGTGGCCATGGCGTAGACACTCGTGACTCCATCAATAGCTAGGATATCTCCAATTTCGGAACTTCCAGTAGCAGTTGCTGTTGTGAATGTTTTCCCCTTTAATCCCTCAATATCTTCCATGCCAGAGAGCGGTTGCGAAAGACGCACCAGAAACGACGACGGATTTGGGGTGCTTTCAATGCCCGACACGGTGGCCATCATCTTGGACAACAACAAAGATGGCCTGCTGCCGGGTAAGGCGGGCGTCCAGGCATTGGCAACGAGCTGCTGACGGCCCAGAAACAACTGTATGCATGCTAACATCCATACTAGTATGCTAGTAGACCTCTGTAGCCTCGCCGTGTATACTACGTGTAATATCGAGCTCATGGGGAGAATAATTAGCTGCATGGTGGTGGGTGAGTTGGGTTGGGTTCGGTTGTGCTTTCCAGCAATCATCGCGAAAAAAGAGGACCAGGTTTTTGTACAAAAGATCCAAAAAATCTTTTGGGATGAGCACTTTAAAACCCGAACTCTAGCTCGCATACCATGTTAATTAAGGAGGGGGGTGAAGAGTACGTGTAGTTAGATTTACTAGCGAGGACCAGGCTTATGCATAAGCAAAACAGAATCAAAATTCTGAACTAGCTAGGTTCCGTGGGATCAGGACCGTCCGACGGTTTCCCCTCAGGATTTAAAATAAGTTCAAATTTGGCACGACTGACGGCTGATATCGAACATTCCCTTAAACATTCCCTTAAATCTTTGACATTCCCTTAACATTCCCTTAAAAAACATTCCCTTAAGAACATTCCCTTAAGCCTTCCAAACATTCCCTTAAGTCTTAAACATTCCCTTAACATTCCCTTAAGTCTTAAACATTCCCTTAACATTCCCTTAAGTCTTAAACATTCCCTTACAGGCCCGACTCGCACCAACACATACCGTCAACGACGACAACAACAACGACGACGACAACAACATCATCACGTAACAGCAACAGCGAGATGAGAACAATACGACGATGACAACGACAGCAACAAGAGATATCAACCCGTTGCTAATTGTTAATCAGAGCTATATTCATTGTGTCCCTGCATCTCTTTGTAGAGTTCTTTCCATTTGAAGCCCCCCTTTTCTGTTTGTTGTAGTTGATTCAAGTATCGTGCTGTTCGAAGCTCTTGGTAGATGTGATCTCGAAACACTTTCAGGGGAAAGAGCTGATACTCATCCCGACTTTCCCACAACTCCTTGGGCTTGTATTCATCATCATGCAATCCTGCTGCCATATCCTTTTTGAGTAGTTTCTGTGCAGCATCACCTTCCCACTCTGGATAGTTTCCCTTTGCCGCAACTAGATTCTTGGGGTGGTTGGCCACAAATCGATCAAAGGCATCTTGATCTTCCTTTGCTCGAGACAGATCCCTCTTCATTTGAGCTCGCAAGTCAGAAAGGCGCCGTGGAAACTTGGCCCAATCGCCTTCAAGTGTAACTTCAGGTAGAGAGTCAAAATAATACTGAATATCATCTTCGGTCTCCTCATCAGGTGGATCAAGTGGGATGGTATTTGCCAGAATAGCAGCATAGAGCTCTGCCTTGGCATTGCTGTTCTCCCATCCTTTGTTCTTCTTCTTCTTGGGCATGGTTGACAATTGGATTCTGTTGTTGTTGCAGCCCGAAGCAGGTCGCTATTGAGGCTCCACTTGACCGAAAGATACCTTACCGTATGACATACCGCCTACCGGTTACTAAGAAAGGACGTGCAGATTCCTATGACGTCGCCATTCGATTGGATTCTGCCAATAAGATATTTCCTCTGAATGACCACGCACTAGCTAGCTCTAGAAGTTCTGCCTTTTTCGTGTCGGTAGCTATAGCCAGTAGTACGAGTCTTCTAGTGCGAGTATCCAGCGTGTGGTCCTCTGGCAACCCAAGCCATTGAGCAAGGGCACAATGGCCAGCAACAGAAGATCAACAAGGAGGTCACAGGGTCTTCCACCATCTAGTCCAACTGCCACTCCAAGAACAGCATCATTGGCAAGCCCTTCATTCGCAAGCCCAGGTGGGAGATCGGTCAAGAGCACAACAGAATCGTATCGTGATCACTCATCTCTGTCGCCGTCGTCCTCTTCGTCCTCGTCGATATCTCAGCCGGAAGAGATAGCACCTCCTTTTGCAATAAAGGAGATAACCACCAAGCCCAAGAAGCAATCCACAGAGAAGAAAGCTTCAAAACCCAAGCCAAAAGAAGCAAAGCATCTCAAAGAAGATTCATTTGAAGCAATGAATACTTCTGGAGGAGACAACACCGGCGAGTGTTTGCTCTGCATTATGGACCAAGTAAATATGCTCGATGCCTGTCTCTTACCTTTGCTTTCTTTGATTTTTCTTGCTTTCAACAGGCAAGATTGTGGTCAATATTGATCAGTGGTGGAAGACCGCGGAACCGTTCAAGGTGATCTCTGCTGAAGGTCTCCTTGGAAAGGAGAATCCCAAGACAAAGGCCGCGAAGATGTACAAGGGGTATCTGATTTTTATGCGTGTACATCCGGTGGATGCCCAGGGAGATGGTGGGAAGAGGAAAGCATTTCCATTTCAAGCTCGGGTCTACAATGCCAGAACTGTTGTTGTTACAGCTCCGGGGTTGGATTATTCGAATTCGGGATATGACAATCCGGAGATCAAGGAAATGCTTGAAGTGGTTGACGAAAAAGGTGTACCCATAAATGATGGAATCGTTTGGGAGGCTATTGAGAATGCCACGGTTCAGTTCAAAGAAGAGGTCATCAAGAAAGAGAAGAACACGAAGGTTTACCATCTCGAATTCCCCAGAGACGTCGAGCTTTCGGCGGATGTGCTGGAAATCAACTCGAATAAGGAAGACGGGCTTATGACTGTGGGGACATCTAAGAAGCGCATAATGGGGTAGCGCGAAAACAGCGAGGTCGGTTACAAAATTGCCAGGTCAGTCGATGGTAAGGTTACCAATCGGTAACTGACCTCGCGCTTATGTATGGTGGGTACAAGAACACCGAGGAATGATCCTTCCCATTTTGTGAGGTCAGCTGTGCAATATTCAAGAACCTCTTATCCTACTAATTGAAGACGATCGACTCAGGCATATACAGATGCAATTGCAGCACAAGTCATTGGCGTAACGGTTACAGAATGTTGAACTAAGTGTTCACTATTCCTCTACCGAATTCCGTTCCCCTTTCTATACATGGCTTACAAGTTGATGCACTTTGTGATGCTAATTACAGAAGGGCAGTTGTAGGCTATTCCCCAAGCCCCGGAATCCAAAACAGCTCAGCCATTCCTTCCCAAATGAAAGAGTCCTAGGTTACTAAATCTATAAGTAGGGGTTTCCAAAATGGAGAAAAGCAGTACACAATGTTGGATATGATTGGGGCTAAATTCGTTATGGTACTACTAATAACAGAGTAGTGGAGGTAAGCGAACAATGACATAATGTTCGTAGTAAAAGGGGAGAAACAGGTCACTCATATGTAACCAACTGTAACGGTACGGGCATCCATAGGTCCGAGAAAAGGGTCCAAATGATTCCAAAACAGGACGGCTGGGGCAACCAAACAAGGACGCCATAGGTAACAAAGTCGTCTTGGAAGCCCTGCTAAAAGGGGAGAAATGAAATTGAAGAAAGTGGAGGAAGCCACCAAAAGCCTGGGTAGGACCCCACCAAAGAGGTTGTGGAGTTTCTCTTGGAGGTGCAGGACAAAGTGGAAGCCACATTGAATCCAAGTGTAGCCAGTGATTCCAGCAATAACGATGGACTTTCAAGAAATCAGTATGAGCTGACAATCTAAACAGAACACAGGAAGGACGGCCAAGTGTTTCATGCCCACCCTGACTATCGAAGCACTGGACCATGGAGAGATTGGCAATCATATTCTGGGGATACACGGATGAAGGGGGGTAAGGCGACCTTCCTGGACAGAACTGGTGCTTTCTGAAGTTTGAAGGGTTGGCAGAGGAATCCAATTTGGAGCATGGGGAATCTGCCTGGAAAAACAGACCTATGCTGTAGTAGAGAGTGCGTATTGGGATGCTACTCCTGCAGAAGTCACCATGTCGGACCTATTCCTTCCTTTCTTCAAGGATGTCAAAACAAAGAAGGACAAGGAATCACGTAGGTTCTACCTAGCTGATGTGGGTGCTATTGTTGCCCCAATGTGTGTGGTCCCTGACATTGGTTGCAAAGGAGGGAAACGGTATTTCCAGGTCAAGTCTCGGCCAGAATGGTTGGAAGAATTCACATCCTGAGTGGAGGATCCTCATGACCTAGATAAGATGTCATAATTTGGCTACTAACCACTTTTATTTTTAAGATACTGAATGGTTTCGAGTATGCTAGATTAGCGATTCGCCTCGCTTTTTGTAGAGCAGTGACAGTGATAATCGCTGTTCGGGAGCGGCGGCAAGCTGTTTGGTAAGGTAGAGGCCCCCATTCGACGACGTAGTGCCTTTAATGTGCTAGGTCAATGCATAAAGTGTGGTAGGCAAACTGAATGCCGGTGTGTTCTTTCTTTTTACACATGAATGAGGTGAGCAAGCCAATATTTAAATTTCTTAACTCGTGACACCTTCCTTAAAAGGGAACCAAAATCAATATACAAATATCTACAGCAATGAATACTAATATACCGCTGGCTCGTGCCAAACGCATGTCACCTCACTTTAATTTCCTTAATAGTACTGTCAATATAGGTTACCGAATGGTGGGCTTTAGGTCACAAATCCAATTCGAATTCCTGCTGGAATGGCAGCGCAAGAGGCCTCCGCCCTGGTGGAAGGGGAACAAAACTTCCGACCAGAGAGCAATACAATGACATAGTTTCCATACTGTCGATGCCAACGCAAGTACTAGAAACGATAGAGCCAATGGCGAAACACCAGAAGAAGGCCTCAAGGTGCATATCGAATACCTGAGAAGACGAGAGCAAATGACTGAAGGTACAGTTGTACGTGTACGTGTACGTGTATGTGTATTATCCAATCCCATGTGCATCACGACGGCTCTGTCGTTGGATACTTCCTCTTTATTCATTTTTCACCATTACTCCCACTGATTACACGTGTTTTGGTGCTAAGTATCGACTTCCAAGATCGCTTATGTATGCACCAACCGTGGAGACCCACGATGGCAAAGTTCTCCAGTCGTATAGCCCTCATCCAAATTGCAGTCGATACCTCGAGTTGTG